CAACCCTGAGCCGGTGAGATTTGAACCGCTGACCTGCTGATCTAGCAGTAGCCTGCAGTGCTGCATTTAACCACTGCGCCACCTTGGCTCCAGTTTTATGGTCAGTTGTACATATCCATAGCAGATTGAAAGAATGTTTATTTCAGCATGGCTAAGGAAGATGTGCCATACAAGACTATGTGATTGGTAAATTGACATGTTACAGCATGTTGTAGACAAAAGACATGCTGTCCGGGATGGTTTGATTTCAGAGTTTCAAACATAAATCTTTTTTCTTTCCTGTTTATTACAGCATAAACATATTAACAGTTCTCAAAATAACATGGATAACAAAAATGAGAGCAAGCCCAAGGGGTTTCTTCTTTTCTTTCTTTCTTTTCTTTTTTGGCTCCTCAGAATGCAAATCTCTCACAAAGCAAAAACAAACAGACAAACTTAGAGCTGCCAATGAGCAGTAGCATCAGAAAGTTATTTGCAGATGTCTGGAAGCAAGTTTCTCTTACTAGCCATTTAAATATGGGAACAAACAAGTAACAGCTTATATCTTTGAAAGCTTTCTCATGTCTTCAAAGCAAGATATGCTTTGAAAACAGGACATGCCGGAAGAAATTGTAGTGATTGACAGGGCCCTTAATTACAACGAAGAGTTTTGTGGGGACTCTCCAATCTATGGGGATAGATGCTGAGCTTTATATTACATTTTGATACATTCAGATTGTTGGGGTTTGCAAATTGTCTCAACTGGGCAGTAACATTTGAATTTCTTTGCTGGAGTCAAAGAAAGAAAGGATTTAGAACTTAGACCTAGACATAGAATAACTTTATTGTCACTTTAAATGTACACTAATCAGCATTTAATAAAATGAAATTTTATTGCATACAGCTCTCAAAATAAATAACACCACAGACTGGCTCAGATTTATACAAGAAAAACGAATCTTGTGAATTTATCAGACTTATGGCATAGGGAACAAAGCTGTTACTGAAACTGGTAGTCCTGCTAGAAATACTTAAAAACCTCCTCCCAGAGGAGAGCAATAGAAACAGACTGCAAAGTGGGTGTGTAGGGTCTCTAACAATGCTTTGAGCTCTAAGCACATAGCACTAATAAGCAATATTCTGAATAATGTGAAGCAAGCTTCCTCTAATCTTCTCTGCTGTCTTCACCACTCTGTATGGACTTTCTATCTGAGGCACTGCTACCACCAAACCAAACAGTGATGCAGTTTGTTCAGAATGCTCTCAATTGTGCCTCTGTAAAAAGTGACCAAAAGGACAGAAGGAGAAAGATATGCTGTCTCATACAATGCAAGAAATGGAAACACTGGTTTGCACACTTCACTAAGGACAACGTCTGGAGAGACCAGTTCAGATTGTTAGTTATCTACACCCCTCAATGTTCCTGTGTTATGTTCCTTATCTAATTGGATAAGAAATATTCTTATTGCATTTCTTATCTTCATTCTTCTAATAGTCCTTATTCTATTTTCCCTAGCTTTTTGTTCAAGTCTTCCTTTTCCAGTTCTATCCATCAACATCTTGACCCTAATGAATCTATTTTCTACTCCCCAGAATGCTTTCTAAACAATCCACCCCCTCAAGCTTTATTGATTTCTCCCCCTTCAATTGCTAAAACTGCTTGTGGAGAGCTATTCAGGGCCTTGGGTCATTTTTGTAAATTAAGATGATGCTAGGCCAGAATTTTGTTTTTCTAGCATAACCCTAACTCTAACCCTAATCCTTTTTTTTAAAGTAGAACTAAAATTTTGTCTGAAACAAGCAAACAGACAGGTACAAGGAGAGAAGAAATAGACTATTTAAGGGAAGTACATCACTCTAGAGAGGTGACACGAGGCTGGATCCAGGCGGTTGTTACCGCCTCTCTTCGGGAGGGA